TTACCTCTTATTCTCTAGAGGATAATAAGTTATGGCAAAGATACTTGCTGAAGCTGGTGCTACAGCTGGGTTTTACCATCTATGCCATTTTAACGCTCCTCTCAAGGTACGAGCTTTACTTGGCAACTCTCCTCGTGTTATTTGCTGGCGTGGAAAAATATGTTGAGCGAATTGTTGCTTTTTATCGTGCAAGTTTAGACCATTTCGGAGAAAAATGGCAGGAAACTACTGCTACAGGTGGAATTCACATTCCAGTACAATTCAAAGGCGTGAAGAACAACGGAGGGATATTACAAACTGCAGTTCTACTCCTTGGCAGTTTAAAGGGTATAATCATTGGCCCTGCTCCAAAGAAAGAGGAGCAAGACAAAATCACAAGGATTTTTCATCCTGACCAAAGTAGAAGTTGGTGTGGTGCGCTTCGAATAATTGAGATTGAGCTAAGCCTCTTGTATGAGCTTCTTCACACCAAGTTGCCTGTGATTGCTTCAACTAGTGGATTTATTTTCCGTATCGCCAATTTCAGTTGCATCTTGGTAGCCTTGCTTTCATTCTCATTAGTTAAGAAGCACCACCAGTTGGGGTTGGTTGACATCTTGCTAACCTATGGGTTGCTGATTGGCACCTTGGCGTTGGATTTCTTGTCTATCATATTACTCATCAAATGCTCCGATTGGTTTGCCGCTGCTCGCCTCCAAGATCAGCACGACTTGCCTAATGCATTTATCAATAGGCGCAGGTGGTGTAAAAAAGTTTCACAGTTAAATTTTTTAACGTATCATGTGAAAGATTATCCAGTTTGGCTGAAAAAGCTAGATGAGCACTGCATGTGGAGCTTGTTGGAATACATAAACATTCATTTCCGATTGCCGTATTACCAAAATTTCCGGGCCCCACTCTGGCAATTCATTTGGAGAGAACTATCGGAGAAATATGATTGGCATAAGAATAAGCAAGAAAATTGGTTGTCAGAAACAGAATTAATACGTCATTTTGAGAAGGTTATCAACAAGGAACGAGCCAAGTGCTTGATCAAAAGGTTCATTTACGAGTTGGATAATTTCTCACGAACCCTCCTAGTGTGGCATATAGGCACTGAATTATGCTTCCAAGACGACAATGACCAGTGGAGGTATGAGTCTGAGGAAACTGATTACAGATCAATATGCAAGCTACTTTCAGATTATATGTTTTACCTTGCAGTAGGCGTGCAGCCCAGCATGATGGCAACTGTATTGGATGATTGGAAGAAGGAATTTGGAGAAATATGTGAGCAGACTCGGCGATTAGTACCCTGGAGTTTTTTCTCAGATGAGAAGACTGCCTGTAAAATGATCTTTTTCGGGTTGAAGGAAGAAAAAGAGGGCAAGCCCAGATTATCTGATGCAGTTGCTCTTGCCTGCTGGCTCAAGAACAAGAAGCAGGAGGGGGGTTATGATTATTCGTGGGAGTTAATGGGCAAAGTTTGGGTACATTTAATGTTCTTTGCTGCTATTACTTGCAGCTCATATGTCCATGCACAGAAACCAAGTCAGGGTGGAGAACTTCTCACTTTCGTTTGGCTGTCGCTGAATCATTTGGGTCTTGGAAAGAAATACAAAACGTTGAAAGAAATGTTGGAGCATCCTGACGTCCCACCACCGCCGCCGCCAGATGTGGATGAGGAAGAGCATACGTATAGAGGAAGGCTACGATTAGAAATACATATGGGTTCCCTCTGAGGTGTGTTTATTATCACTATTATTATTGTTAAACTTATTAAAGTTTTTATTTTTTAAAATAATATTTAAAATTTTTAATTTATTGATTAATTTTAATTTATTAATTATTAATTATTAATTATTAATTATTAATTATTTTTATTAGTTCAAAATCAATATTTTTAAAAATTATTTTAC